CAGCGAGGTACTGTAGCGGGGGTACTGTAGCAGTACTGTAGCAGATACTGTAGCGCTACAGTACCCCCCTCGTTTTGGACCTCGGGTAAGACTTGCCTTCGGGCCAGCCCGAGTTGGTGGGTCCCCCCCCCCCCCCGGGCCTGGGCTGCTCCGCTGGAAAGCCATTTTTTTTTTTTACCCCTAGCCTCGGGCTGGGCTGCATGGGTGGAAAGGCTCTAAGGAGTGGAGACTTTCTCTTCTTTTCCAATGTAGGACTCAAGTTCATATATTTCATTCAAATTTCAACAAGTAGTTGATATTGTCGAATCATGTTGTGACTTGGAAGTTTGGAGGCTAAAATCCATGTTTGGAATACTAAAGAGTCGATTAGGCTCGGACATGTAAATAATGAAAGTCAAGCAGAGTATCCGAACCAATAAAAAAATGTCGTACTCTCTGAAGTCTATTCTGTTTATTTATTAACGTGGAGTATTCTTTTACAACCACCCAGGTTGCACAGTTTCTCAGAGTGAATCCAGAAGCAGGAGTGTTCTTCTTTGATTCTAGTTATCGCCCTGTGCTCCTCGCACAGCAGCATATTGGTATTAGTGAGCAGAATTTTACAGCCCGTATTGAATTGCAGAATGAGATATGCTACAAGAAGGTTTCTCTTTCCTTGGGCTCTCCTTTGTGTAATGTATGTACTAGAATGATTATTTAACTGATTGATACTTTTTTTTTTTTTTTGCTAGGTTGTTGAATCACTCAAGCAATGTTATCATCAGGCTCAGAAACTGGTATTCGTTCATTCTCGAAAGGACACAGCAAAAACAGCTCAGCTAACTGCATAAATGAGGAAGCATCAGTTGGTTGATGATGATGCACGAAGTAACCAGTACGATTCCTTGCAAGTTTTGATTTCAGCCATAGTAACTGCCTTGATATTTGTATAACATGTTTCCTTTGGTTTGGAGTATACGTGCCATTTGTTTTCTCTTATATTGTTTTTAATTTTGGAGTGAATGATATTGCTCGCTTTCAAAAAGATAAAATCTATCAACACAAAATGACTTAAATGAAAAATAAATATATTAAAAAACTACCATCTGTACTGATGCAGTAATCATTGGAAGTTTGATTTCACACATCAAACATAGCAACATAGAAACAGTGGCTTTCTCAAAAAGAAATAATAATAAAAGAAATAATGGAAATAGGGGACTATTAACCAGAGTAGTTAAGAATACGATCATCCGAAATTATACTAGCAGTGTGAGTGGCAACTGGGATTGGGATAATTTTGAAGTTCCTCATAAAGCAAGGAAGGTTCTTACTCGAGGTAGGTGCATATAAAATATAAGACGAGTTTCTCATAAAGCAAGTTGTTATTTTTCAGTGGATGTGAGAGCACGTCCAAACCAGCTGAATGGAGTAACAAAATAGAAACTAGAATGGATCCAATTTTGTACATATCAGCTCTAACTATGAGCTTGCATATCCGGGAGTGGCAGCAGATTTTCTTTTCCATTGCCTACAATTAAATTTAGTATTCAGTATAAAGTTTACGGGTACAAACTACAAATAATGCCTCTACAAAAATTTCCTCAGCGACTCCCGTACAAAAAATAAGACCGTTTAAAAACCAGAATTTACACCATGCAATGTAAAAATTTGCTCTGCAAATAAGTTCATCGCATATCTATTGTTTATGCTTTTGGCGTTGCCACTCTGCAATCTGCACCAACTGCTTCACTAACGAACTTGAAACCATCCCTTTCTAAGCACTTTGACAAGTCAGCCTGTGAGAGAGAGAGAGAGAGAAGCAAAGATAGTAAGACTATTATAAGCACGTCCCTGACATTAGGTGAAAAAAAAAAAAGGTTTTCGGCAGAATGAGCGCATCAGAAAATACCTTTATCTTGGGGATGAGAGCAGGTCCCCCATAGGCAAATGCTGTATAAAGCTGAACAAGACTTGCTCCAGCTCGTATCTTTTTGTAAGCATCCTCACCACTAAATCAATGGCATAAACAAGGTCCAATTAAGGGGGAAAAAAGTAGATAATAATTAAAATATGAAAAATATCAACAAAGGGCTGTTCTGATCTTACCTGCTAATGCCCCCACACCCTATTAGAGGAATCTTTCCCTGATTGATATTAAATTAACAGGGTCAAGCTCTGATACATAGGCAAAAAAATGAAACCAAAAGGAAAGAACATACGATTTAAACAAATAGTTCAAATAACATCCAAAAGAGGACCTAAATGTCTAGCAATAACAACCAAGAGGTTCAAGCCAATAAATATTCTCTAGTAAAAATAAATAAAAGGAACTCAGCTAGGCACTAGTTAAACTAAGGTGCGCTCGGCCACCTGTGTCCAGCTGTGTCTAGACGTCATATTCATCAAACCCAAAAACAATTATAAGCTACTCTACATGAAATTTGACGCTTGTATACTGATATTTTATGCTTTCACAATTCTGTACTTCCTAATGCAAGGGTAAAGAAGTAAAATTAATAGTCCAACTTCACATGTACATAAGCCACAATGGGATGATGGGTCATGACAACAATAGAATGACATATCAAGCCAACATACTCACACATCTTCAAAATTTTCAATAATATATCATAAAAATAAGTGGCATCTTGTAAAGATATGTTCTATGCAATCTACCCCAGTGTAAGTATCGTGAATAACAGGTTACATGAGTTACAAAGGGGCAACGTACCCTCGTCAAAATGTACATCTCCTTTAAGAGACTAGTAGACATATTAAAGAGTGGCTTTCCACTCAAGCCACCAGCTTCAGAAGCTGCTGGGTTTGTAGTAACAGGATCTGACCGTGAAACAGTTGTATTTGATATAATCTAGAATAAACAAGATAAAAACAACTCATAAGAGTAGAACAAATGGCACTAACTTTTAGGTAAATAATATACTGAACATTAAAGTCATCAACCTTTACTCTAATATTAACACGTAGAACACCGTATGGTTATCATTGCACTAAATAGCTCATAAGAGTGGAAACTTTTGATATGGATATGGTAAACAATGAAAACTGTGAAGTGTGTGATAGGAAGTAAACATACCAATCCATCCAAGCGAAGGGCAAGGGCAACCTATGTCCATAAACAAACCACCATAAGAAAACCATTTTAAGGAGAAGAGAGGGGGGTGGGGGGGTGAGAAGAGAGTAATCAATTACGAGCATAAACGCATACTGCAGCAATATCTTCAAGGTCTTCTTTAGACAAATCTGGAGCAATTTTCACGAGCAATGGAGGAGGGCCCTCTTCACCCCATTGCATTTCATCACGAGCAGCTTGAACCTTGAGATAGAAGAAAAGAGTTATAAGAGCTAACTTTTGCAGACATTGTGATAATTATATAGATAGAGAAAGTTCATGCCTCTGAGATCCATACCCTTTTCACAAGGTCCTTTAACTGCTTTCTTCCCTGAAGCATACGTAACCCAGGGGTGTTGGGTGATGAAACATTAATCACCTGCAAAGAGATCAGCACAAATATTGTCGAATTAATGAAACTGGATTTGAACTTGAAACGTATATGCAGAAACTAAAACCTTAATGCTTGCAGTTCGTGAATTATTACCGAAAACTCAACTTCTGAGGAACAATATCAAGAAATGATGCAAGATTCTATTTCAACCCACTGAAAATTCAGCTTTCACAACTGAAGTTGAGGAAGTTTTACTTTAACCTGAATCATTTCCAGATATAAATTTGATTGTTCAAATATCCTAGTCAAGTAATAAAAAGTCGGACTTCCGAACAATTGCTGCCCATCTGAGCTTTTAAGAAATTATTTTCCAAAATCTCTATTCTCTAGTAAATTGATTGTGACCCTCAAAAGACATATTTGGCATCATTTATCAACAGACAAGGAAATATGTAATCAATTCTGTAGTATAATTTGTGACAACTGATAAAATAGCCTAAAGATGGTATGAAATTATACAACTCAAAATCAAATGAATGAACCAACAAAAAGACCACAACAAGAGGCCTATTCAAATGCACCTCTTATTGCTTTTCCATGTGGAGAAGCAACATAACAAGAACCTATATTATTAGATGTTAGCCATGAAAACAGCATACTAACACAGGCATCGTGATGAAGTTGATGCATTTGTGAGTACAACCACAAAGTGAACTCTTGTTAAAAGAAAGAACAAGTTGGACAGTGAAGAGAGTGTTTTTTCCTAATTATGCTTCAGTCAGCAGAACTACCCTCCACGCAACCTCCTTTGGACAGACGGAGATCCTATTCCTAGGGCACCAACATTTGCAATCAACATGCACTTTCCAACAAGAGGGCATGAACACGTCTTTAGTTGTAAAGCAGCAGAGTCACAATGTCAGACAGAAAAATTACTAGACTATGAGAAATCAATAGAGAACAATCTACCAAGTAATCAGCATACTGGGACAATGTATGAACCCCTTGTACATAATCTGCAGAAGCATCTTCACTTGTCTTATTCTTCCCAAGATTCACCCCTAGTATTCCAGGGCCAGCTTTGCCTCCAGGTTTGACTTCTTCACCTGAAGAAGATGAAGAGCTTGTAGTTTCATCCAACTTCCTCTTACCATGCTGAGCACCCAACCGCTTTGCAACAGCAACAATTCCTTCACTATTAAAGCCACATCGATTGATGATAGCTCTGAACACAACATCAGGTAGATTGATAGCACATGAGTTAGAACAAGAAATATAACCCAGCTCAATTTTTGAAAAAAGGAAAAAAAGATTCAGAAGCTAAAGCACCATAATCACCTTCCAAAAGTGAATAGAAAATTTGACTTAACACAAGAAATTCAAGGCAATTCAGGTCTTAATCAGAACATAATAAGATAAACACAAAACATACTCTTACCCTTCCTCACGCAATCTGAAGATACGAGGCTTTGGATTGCCCTCTTGGGGAATGGGGGTTACAGAGCCAATCTCTACAAAGCCAAAGCCTAAACCAAGTAAACCATCAACAGCCTCAGCATTCTTATCAAATCCAGCAGCAAGACCTACAGGGTTGGAGAACTTCCTTCCCCAAACGTCTAGCCCTAAATTTGATGGATCTGGTCTCTTCTCTCTAGGAACCCAACCTCGTGCTGCGGCTGAGACACCCAGTCTGTGAGCAACCTCTGGATCCAGAAGAGCGAAGAATGGATTCACAAGTTTTGTAGCTGAGAATAGCCAGCCACTTCAAAAATTTGATATCCAAGAATTAGCAATAAACGTAACTAAAATTAAACGTCAACATTTCACAAAAAACTTAAGCCAGTCAACTAACTACTGATAAATAAACTGAATTACACGGTTTCTGCTTCATCCACATAAATAAGTACACAATAGCATAACAATGAACAACCTCATCACCACTGCAAGAATGAGGCAGAGCATAACAAATGACAATTCATAATTTTTGTCTAATGTCCCACGAAGCTATTAATTTAGCAAAAGAAATTTATGACTTTTACAACTAGGAGTGTAATTCCAAAGTTTCCAGGTAACAAGGAGAAATCCAGAGAAATTCACCCCCAGCCCCAAAACCAAACAACACACGCTTACACCACACAGGTTTCAAGCAATACAGCATGACAGACTTTTAATTCAAGCATCAGAGGTTGCCTTAAGAGAATTCCACATGTTTTATGCTTATACTTTTCTGGCTGATAGGTAACAGTAAGTAGAATTAAACATAAATGCTGAAACACTGCAACCATAATTGTAAACCGTGTGAAAGGTTAAATGCAAACAGAGCAAAACTTCTACTTAAAGATTTAAATGAGGTACCAGAAAGTTGCTTCATCCACAGTGCTCACATAAGCTCCTCCGCCTATAACTAAGCCTAAGGTGGTTCCCGTCAACAACCTCCCCTACAGTTCAAAATAAGCAGACAGCACTTCAAAATCAAACAATAACGCATTGAATTTCCAACAAATTTGACTTAAAAATAAAAGTGTAAGCAACATAAAATGAAAAGGCACCACTTTGGTGAGATGGGTTTGCCTTTTTGCTGGAAACAAATAAAACTATAATCGTCATAGTTCTTCCTCTGTGATTCTTTGCAACCAAAAAGATAGTGTCATACATATACGAAGGAGAAGAAGAAGAAGAAGAAGAGAGAGAGAGAGAGAGAGAGCGCATACTTTCTTCGAAAAATGAGGAATCTTTGGAGCAGTTTCTGCAGCAGAAGAACAGTGTCGTGCACCTGCAATAGGAGTTGTGCATGCCCTTCTGAACAAAAAGTCTCTTAGTAATTTTCTTGAAGCCCTTGCCGCCATGACCTTCAATGATCAAATAAATAAAAAACTTTCAATAGCTTATATAAAGCCTCGCGAACTAACTTTGCTAACAAAATAATCAAAGGCAAATGCAAAATCAATAGTAGAAAAGGAACGTACAGAGCAGTGGACTGTGGAAGGCAAGAGAGTGATACAGGGCTTGTTACGACGGCACCCTTGAAGGAGCGGGACAACGGGTAAAATGGAGCACACAGACGGGTTTGGCTTTTTCTCGTGCGGGTGATATATGGGCACCCGGTCTTTTGGATTAAACGGGTTATTTTGCGTTTACGGGTCAATATCAGGATATACTTGGTGTTATTGATTTAAGAATGTATGATATATATCAGTAAATAGATGCATATTATACCCAATTGGTGTCCCCCTAGCATTATTAGTAGAAGTTACATTGCGTTGGGTTGTTCCATATCAATGTATGGCAATTTTGACAAAAGACGTTGCAAACGTGACCAATATACACAAGTTCATAGTGCTTAAGCCCATTATTTATTTTCTGACGTCAGATCAAACTAACTAATTTCATTAAACAATTAAGAAATAAGTCATCATCTAAAGTTCTCATTATGCAAGTATTGCTCAAGATCGCGTGGCTGCAATGATACCGACAAGTAAACGAGTAAAAGAGTTGTATGGGCTAGGATCCAATCCAACTAGTAACTGTAGAGGACCATATGAAACATCAATTTTTTTTGTAACCCAATGACTTATAAGCCATCAACAACTACAAGCCCAAGATTTTAGCTCAAATGGGCAGGGACAGGTCTGAGCAACGATGAAAAGGTGAAAGTCTTTCCTAGGGTTCAAGTCTTTCCTTCACATAAACAAAAAAGAAGAAGAAAAAGGTGAAAGTCATAACAAGTTAGATTACAATCCTTGATATGCAATAATATCTAGTTAATTACAGTCCTTTCTTTTTTAAGTTACAAATTTACTTGAAATAACAATTTTTGAGTGGCCTTCAAGTAATCCCAGCTTCTTGACTAGAGCATATGTAATATATATTTATTTGAGCGCGGGTTGCTGCTTGCTTTCTCAAATCCTGTCGTTCGTTCGTTTCAGAAAATAGAAAATAGAAAATAGAAAATAGAAAATAGAAAATAGAAAAAGAAGATGCGAGCAGTAGCAAAGCTGAGCGAAAACCTCACTCGGCCTCTCTTCTTCCTCGCTCCAAGAACCTTAACCACCCTCACTGCTCCTTCTTCTTTATCGAACTTGCTTTCCTCGTCGGGCTGTGACACCAGCATCACCCACTGCACCAACACGTGTCTCACTGGAAAAACTCTGCTTCAATCTCCCTGGTCCGCCATCCAACACCGCGGAGCCGTTGTCCTGGGCTCCGATGTAAGTTTTTCAATCTCATTTCGGTTTCCTACCGAGCAACGACGTTTTGAATTGTAGTTGTTATTCACAGTCATGAATGATGATCCTGCGATTGTGCAGGTGAGAGCTGGAAATGTCATTGAGAGGAAAGGTGGGTTGGCAGTTTGGCTTTGCAATCAATTTTACACAGAATCTCGTTGGGTTTTGTTTGAATATTCATTTAAAATTGTTTTTTTACTAACAAATTTTATGAATAATTTATAATTAAAAAAATCACATTGCGGTTGCGCTTGGTTTTATGGTGGACAATACTTGCTTCAGATCGTCTTTACCAGGTGAATTAGTTTATTGTATTTTTGAATGGTGCAATAATGTTATTGATGAATATTCTGTGATTTAATTGATGCATAATTTGTTATTATTTAGGTGATAAAGGTAGAACATTCCCATGAAGGAAGAGGAAAAGCGCACATTAAGGTGTGTTTCTGTCATTCAAACCTTATCATTATTAGAACCTTATTCATAAGGTTTGATTTGTACTTTTTGTGCTTTTTTAAAAAAGCAAGCTGAAATGTGAAGCTGTGTTTTCATTGTAGGTGGAGCTTCGTGATGTTGACTCTGGAAACAAGACATCCCAAAGGTTGTCAACGGATGAGGCAGTTGAAAGTATGAATTTTTTGTAAATTCCCATTACCATTAGCGTAATAGTCTACAATGCTCATTCCCTATCAGATTGCTTTAAATTGTTGATGTAAGCATTCTTTGGTAGTTCAATACGTTTCCTTTCTTGGATGTCTGTTTCTGCATTGCTTTTCATTCTTCTGGTTTTGTTTCATTTCACTTTTTTAAAATGTCTGCTTGTGAGGCTTGTTCACAAAGACATTGACCAGTGTTCACAAATTTTTTTATGCATTTACTTGAGTGTAGGTTGTTTTGAACTGAATAATGGTCAGTTTCAGCAAGGAAAGTTACCTCTTGAAACTAATCGGTTCATGTTAACCCTTCTAGTGGATGCCCATTATTCTTTTAGTTATAAGCACTGGTTTATGCTTTAGTGGACGCCCATTGCTCAATAGTGGCTGGTACCTTTTCCTAAATTAAAAATAATACCGACAAATGGGCTGTATTATCACAGTTATGTCAAGTTGGCTGAGGTCTTTTGATCTCAATGACGTGCCATTCTTTCAGTTATTATGGTTGTGTGAGCTAAAATGATAAAATCTTGTATGATTGCTGCAGGAGTATTTGTTGAGACAAAAAGCTACATTTACATGTGCACAGATCGTGATGGCATTGTATTATTGATGGAGTGAGTTTTATGTTTTAAAATTTCCCTCCAGCATCCTCTTCCTTTCACTTCCTGCTGTTACTTTCTCTTAAGAAATACTTTCTCTTTGTAATTTTTATCAGCCCTGATACGTATGATCAGCTCGAAGTGCCTGTGGACTTATTTGGAAAGAAGGCTAAATACCTACAAGGTCGAGGCTTATTATAGTTCATGTTCCTTTCTGTTCATTCATTTTCAGTGATTTTACCTTTTCTTTTTTTTTTTTCTTACTGTCCGTATTCCAAAAGTTAGTGATTATCAATGAGCATGAAATTCATAGTAAATAAATTTATGTAAATTGATTCAGAGTTATTTATTGCAACAATTTACTTTCTAGCTGCCACGAATGGTGTTTTGGATAAAACTACATGGTGGTATCTGAAAATAATCATGTGGTGGAAGCTGCTGTCACGTCGTTGTTTACTTATTTTTTTTTCTTCTGTTCAGAATGCCATTGTGATTAGCAATCCGTGTAAAACTCTTCTTCATGACCGGCTTAATAACTCTACTAGTATCAGGACCTTCCAGCCACTGGCACTGAACCATCTTATAACTCCAATACTGTGATGCCTCCTAGATACAATTATCTAAACCGTCCTAGTCATTTTGGGTGTTATAATAATAATGCCTTGTTTCCTATTTTGGCCGAAAATTTTATTCAGATATGTAATTGAATTTAAATTTCATCATCATTGTTATTGTATACCAAAATAAAATATGATATTCACTGTGAACAGAGGAACTGAAAGTTAAAGTGGAGCTGTTTAACGGAATCCCTTTGTCCGCATCAGTTCCAAAACATGTGACATGCATTGTCAAGGAAGCACAACCTCCTGTGAAGGGGATTGCAGCAACACCTAAGTATGTTTTCATTGTGCAAATGCTATTGTTTTTGTAGACTTCATCTCACTACTCAATGTTGCTTTGTCATTCAGTTGCACCTACACCTTGAATTATCACTTGATATAATAAACTGCTTGATCAATTTCAGTGTTGAATTCTTGTCATTATTCTGACAAGGGATATAATTGCTAAACCGTAGATTTCTAAGTTAACCTGTTAAACTAAAGCTTGAAAAGATATAACCGTAGATTTCTTGTCATGGACATGCCCTCATCAAGGCATCAATTGATACTAGTGGGCCCCATGCATTAAAACCTTTAAGTATGCCGGTTTGAGGACTTTGCTAAAGTTGTTCATGATTAGGTTGTTGGTTATCATGTTGACACTAGTGTACATTGTAATATTAATATATTATTTGTGCGCTTTTGCTAACCCCTGATTTTTCTCTAAAATGCAGGGATAAAATAGCTGAGATGCAAAATGGCTTCACCATGAAAGTAAGAATTTCTTTTTTAAATAATTTGGATAAGCTAATTTACTGCTTTCGGTAGCTAATATTAGAAGAAAATAAGGTATTTACAAAACCTGCAGCAAACAATAAGTAAAGAATAGTGGGCATTACAAAGTATGGTTTTTTAATTTGAAGTGAACTTTTTCATATTGCATGATGTCAACACTTTTTTTTTGGAGAAGTTTTCAAGTTATCAAGAGCTTTGTTTTATATAGTATGACGATTTAAAGAGCTCACAATATTCATGAATGCATGTATGAGCATATAGAGCAGATAGCTTACCATTATGTCTGGATTGAGTTTATAAGTTGTTGATCCTGAAGGCTTGCTGGACTCCCACATTCTTGCAAAGTTCAGCTTGTTCTTAGAGCCCAGAGTCTCCCTCTCCTCTCTCCCTGTTCTACCATTCTATAAGCTGGAAGATAAATACATATGTAGCATGCAGATTACATGGCGAATGGTGCACTGAGGATATGCTATAGGTGTCATGAATCATAGATTGCATTAATGTCTTCTTTATTTTTTCTTTTTCATTCCGGACTTGCTAGGTACCACCTCACATCATAGCTGGTGAAGCTGTGATAATTGACACTGAGGACGACTCCTATGTCAGAAGGTAATTTTCTACTTGTCTCTCTGAGCGTGTATCACATCCTTCTAAGTTGTTCTTGCACAGCTAGATATAAAGTAAGCACCTAAGGCATCCTATTAGCAATAGCAAGATTTACCTAATATTTATAAATGTTTATATGACAAGATTTTTCTGCTCTATAACTCAAAAGGCCCTGATGATTGAGATGTTCCGGTTATAATGTAATGTTGTTATTATCCATGTATATTTACAACTCTTTTTGCATAATGTCACCGGATCTCTTCATTACACCGCAAATGCTGTCATTTGTTTCTACGTAGTTATCCATAAATAATTATAACTTGAATGTTTCAGCTGGACTCTAGGGGGCGCATAATGCCTGTGTTGGGAATTTGGTTTCTAGATTTTCTAGTAAGCTTTTATTTCATTTTTTTATTTCCTGTTGCTTTCAGGGCTAAGGCATAGTGCTTAATATCGTTGCCTCAGTCTGATGGAGAGATGGAATATCATTTGGGCAGAGTCTAAGATCACTTGTTGAGTTCAACTCCGTAATGGATGAATTTATTAACCTTGATGATGAGGTTGC